CTTTGTGGGCCGGCACGTGGGCCGGGCCGCCATGTGCTCCCCGCCCGCGGCCGGCCTGACCGCTCTCTCTCCGCAGTAACATCACGATGGCTGCCCAAGGAGAACCCCAAGTGCAGTTCAAAGTAGGTGACGCTCGTGAGTGGGGTGCCATCGCGGGCGCGAGGGGCTGGAGGGCAGCGCCCTCGGTGACGCGGGTTGGCTCTTGTCCGGACGGATTTTGCGGACGTTTCTTTTATGAGCGCAAACGGGCCTGCTTTGTCAGCGGCCAGCGTGCTCGCACCGCGGTGGCCCTTCAGCGCCCCCGAAGCGGGCGGGCAGCGTCAGCCCCGTCCTCCAGGCCAGAGGACAGGGTACAGAAAGTTCGATGGCCTCCAGTCACTAGGCGGGACAGGGCCGCTTTCTTGGGCCCTCGAAGTGTACTTAAGGGGTTCTGCAAAGTGGTCCCTTTCCGTGCAGTGGGGTCCAGAAAGTCAACGGCTGCGTCATTCGGGGGTCCTGAAATGATACACGTTTGGGGCTTATTTCAGAAAATTGTTTTCTAACAGCTTGTATTGGTTGGCGATGGTGGCACTGGAAAAACAACGTTTGTGAAACGTCATCTGACTGGTGAATTTGAGAAGAAGTATGTAGGTATGTGGGGAAAGGCGCTGTGAAAATTTGTAACGAAGTGCACGAATTCGGCGACTAACTTGAAACGCTTGTGTTTCAGCTACCTTGGGTGTGGAGGTCCATCCCCTTGTGTTCCACACCAACAGAGGACCTATCAAGTTCAATGTGTGGGACACAGCTGGTCAGGAGAAGTTTGGTGGCCTAAGAGATGGCTATTACATCCAAGGTGGGTATTTGATTTTAACGAACATCTGAGAGGATTTGTAGTTTAGTCTTCCAGTTGTTCACTGCTAATCAGATCTATTCCAGTAAATGCAAACTGGATACTGACTATACTAGGCATTATGTGTTTCACATAGAGGAAAAAGAGGTGCTGCCTCCAGGGAGTTGGCCTTCATTTGAAGGGGGGAAGATTTTGTGGGAGTTGTCTGTGTCGTTTGCTAGCATGCTGTGTCATGATAGGCACTGTGGAAAACTATGGTTTGTATTGAGGCTCTTGATTTTAAAAGAATAGACATGCTGTTGCTGCGGTTCCGTATTTGAAAACTTAGTTCGGGTATGTGTTTCGGTGGTTATTTCTTGTCTGCTCCATTAAAAAGATAGTAAATAGTTTGACCAGATACTGGATCAGAGGAGCTACATTTTCTCTCTTGTAAATGTTATTTAAGGTCAGCTGATTTCTTTTTAATTTTACAAAATTTTGCAAGTTTTTTCAGTGCTTTGTTTAAACACTGTTGTCATACCAAACAAAAAGATGAGTAAAGGATAACTCATTTTTTGGAGTCTCACTCCTGATGAAAAAATGTGGGAAATCCTTCGGTGCCTTTAGCTTTGAGTGTATAAATACAAGGATTCCGCTCCCCTCTCCCCTTCAAAAAATTCTTTAGTTAAACTTTTATGGTGTGCAGGTTCTGGCTTGTTCTTTTATTCATTTTGTTGTGGCTGTTTATACAACTCAACACATATAGATTCACTTGATTTTAAAAAAAGTAAAGGCATGAACTATCCTAATATTCGACCACGTAAGAGCCTTTTAAAAAATAGATTCCTAGACCCCCATAATGTGGGAGATGGATTCTGGAACACTGCTTTATCATTCATGTACTTTGGATACTTTGGGGGATGAGGCAGAATTAATGATGAAGTAACTGCAGGGAGAGGTTTGATATGATAAGCTGGTCTTTTACATGCCATGTAAAATGGGGATTTTAAACAAGATTGTCTATTAAGCTAACAGGATACTTGGAATTGGAAGAGATCTTGAAATTGAGTGGAGATACCTAGATGACCTAGAGTTTGGCCTGAGAGTATGAGTTAGAATTCGTAGTTTTTAGCGTTTCTCATCCCTATAGTAAATTCCTAGGCGTGTACTAATTACTCTTAACTCCGTCTTTCAGCCCAGTGTGCCATTATAATGTTCGACGTAACTTCGAGAGTTACTTACAAGAATGTGCCTAACTGGCATAGAGATCTGGTACGAGTATGTGAAAACATCCCCATCGTGTTGTGTGGCAACAAAGTGGATATTAAGGACAGGAAAGTTAAGGCAAAATCAATTGTCTTCCACCGAAAGAAGAATCTTCAGGTTTGTTCCTTAAAACTTATTAACCGAAATATGACCCTTAGATAAAATTGTAATATAGGTCTGTGAAGTGATTCATAGATATCTTTGATGTGTGAATTGAAAGAGTTTCATTTTTTAATTGGAAACATTCCCTAGAATAATCATTTAAGTAATGGATTGTTTAAAATTAATTCTTTTAAACAGTACTATGACATTTCTGCCAAAAGCAACTACAACTTTGAAAAGCCCTTCCTCTGGCTTGCTAGAAAACTAATCGGAGACCCTAACTTGGAGTTCGTTGCCATGCCTGCTCTCGCCCCACCGGAGGTTGTCATGGACCCAGCTTTGGCAGCACAGTATGAGCACGATCTAGAGGTATGACATGTTCACTTACTGGTGTTAGATTTGGCGTGTCTGTCACAGCTTTCAGCTGGAGCATTACGGTCTTTCCGTCTCTCTCCAGGTTGCTCAGACAACTGCTCTGCCGGACGAGGATGACGACCTGTGAGAAAGCGAAGCTGGGGCCCAGCGTCAGAAGTCTAGTTTTATAGGCAGCTGTCCTGTGATGTCAGTGGTGCAGCGTGTTTGCCACTTTGTTATGTAGCTAAGCAGAACATGTGCTTAATCTGGGATGCTGAAGGAGATGAATGGGCTTCGGAGTGAATGTGGCAGTTAAAAAAACCTTCATTTTTTGGACCTGCATATTTAGCTGTTTTGGAACGCAGTTGTTTCCTTATTGAGTTTCAAATATAAGATCGCTACGGTCACATCACAATCCTCAGTGGTGAAACCTTGTTTGTTATTGTCATTCCCGTTCCTTTCCGTTTAGAATCAGAATAAAGTTGTATTTCAAATATCTAAGCAAGTGAGCTCATCCCTTGTTCAGTAAGCATTTTAAAACCACTAATAGGAAAACTGCTGTTAACTATTTAGATTGTCTTTACTGTTATTTAGTTTGGAGTCAGGTTAAATTCTTGTGTCTTTATTTTTTGTACATTTGAACCATTTCACACAAATGACAGCTCAACAGTATTTTATTTGGTAAGTGGTTCTGTGTAAATATTGTCAATGTGGTTAGCTTGAAATCATACCTCCACTAGCCTTCGGGTTTGGGGTGTCAGGGCAGAGCTTGTCCAGGTTTATGTGGCCCACGTCTTAGACATTTGAAATAGGCATTTTAAGAATCACAGTTGCTTTTATCCTACGGCAGAAGTAACTGCTAATGCGGAGCTTTTTAAAAGTCGCATGGGCGAAACCATACAAATGATAGCAAGACAGAAGTCTTATTCGTTAAAAATGAATATAACTGATGCATTTATTTGCTTTTTTAGTGTTAACACGTTTAATGTAAAGTTGATGCTACTTTAAAGATGCCAAAAATTAAGAATTTAAGTTAGATGCACCACAGCTTTAATGGTTTTTTTTCTGAATGGTGTTTGTGGGCTGTGCGCGCACACACACACACAGGAACCAGAATGCTGCAGCAGGAAGGTAGACGTCCGCGTGCCTCAGCAGTGAGATGGACTACAGAACTCCATGAGCATTTATCTTTTGTGTGGTTTCCACATTTAAAAATGAGTTGGGTCTGGCCTGAATTTGACCCAGTGACACTACTGTAGTAATTAGTCTTAAAAAATAAGAGTTACTTTGCTCATATAAGTACTGCTATAGTTTACCAAAGTTCTTTAGGTCCAATTTTCCTTAAATGACTTTCTTACCTAAAAATGGTAGGAAAGGATCACTTCAAGGACAATTAAGATACCAAGGGTAGGATTGAATAAATTTTGATGTTAAGCTGGTATGAGTAGATTCACTTACAGATTTGAATTGATATATATATGCTATGCTATATTCAATTCTGAACCAGATTTTTAAGTCAGGTTTGAGACGTTTCTTCCCATAATCAAAACCGTTCATTCAGATAATTTGGTATAAGGAATATGTTGTTTGTAACATGTAGAATGCAAGTGTGGCAGATATCCTGAATCTTAAATGTAACAGTTGAATTTTGGAAGCTGCTTGTTTAATATGGGGTGGGAGAGAATTTACAAGTCATTGGAAGAAAATATTGCTGCAAAATACATTGCTTTACTTTGCTTGGATTTTCTGAATCTGGTATTTGCTCTGAAATACTGAATAGCAGATTATCATCTTGGGGGTAGATTTCTATCCAGTTCAGACAAATGGAGAATTTTTCCCCTCGCTATTTTGAAATCTGGTATGGGGGAGGCCTTGAATTGAAAGCCATGTAATCTCGTTTGGTTATGCTAACTAGTTAGTAACTGTTAGAGCAAATTAGTTAAGAGTAAGCCTAGCAAATTTGGTTTACAGAAAGCCTGGAGCCTCGGTTTATTTGGATGGTAGGAGTGTTCTATTTGCTGAAATACATGGCACAATTCGAAAACAGGGAGTATTGGTAAAGTTTAGTAAGGGTAACGTTTTCGAAAAGCGGGTTCATGACATTGTCTGGTCAGTTTTTTAAATCTACAGAATGGGTTTTCGGTTCTATTCATCTCAAAATAAGGGCAGAGATTTTCAAAAATAAACTTCCGTAAAGGACCAGTTTCGTGGCCACCTGAAGTGAATAGTGAAAGTTCTTAGTTTGGTGAAACATCACCTTACCTCCTGGGTTAAATTGGTTCGACTTGTCAGTTGGGCACGTGGGACAAGCTGACCCTGTGTTTTGGTGGCACCTTCGGCCATGTTGGGGCTGCAAGCATCCTCTCAAGATTATGGGACTTGTTTCCAAAAGCTGCACGTCACAGGGGCTGTGCTGGCATCGTCGTTCATCTTAGTCCTCCGTGGCTCGAATCCATATTGGGGAGGTCGAAGGTGCACCACAGGGCCCTTGCCGTTGGGGATTTAGGATTACACTCAGAAGTGGGTCTGCTCGCACCCAGGTCCTACTGCAGGATGCCCACCAGGCTGCGGTGTGGCCCGTCCATCGCCCGCAGCCTGCCGCTGCAGCCTCACGCGCTTTCCCTGTAATGCTCCATCTGCGAATCCCGGTTACGCGCTCGGCGCAGGCAGCCCCCCCACCCCCCACCCAACAGCTTTCCGTCTGAGTAGAACGCCCCCCACTGTGGACAGGCCCTCGTGGCCTTGGTCAGACCATAGCTAAGTCTGGTTACCGTGAGGGTGGGGGCAGAGCCTGCGCCCTGGGTCCCCAGGGAGCTCTCTGGGAGCTCTGAGGAAGGGAACTGGGGGATTGGGACGGGCAGAGTTGAAAGTCGCAGCAGCCTGGTCACTTGAAGGCGTGTTTCGCTCCCGGAGTTTGCAGCTGGCACCGATTGGTCCATCGATTCCAGCCCGTTTCCTGCATTGAGTAGGGCAAGTGCGCGGCCCGGAAAGCTGGCACGTGAGTCAGAGTCAGCCTGCTTCCGGCTGCAGCGTTCACCCCGAGATAACTCGTGGGTCGCAGTCCGCACCTCACCCCCAGGTCTGCCACGAAATAGCTCGCTTTGCTTTTCGCATCGCTCTATGTGGATAGTCTGGAAACAAAGGACATCGGTCTATTTACAGCCTTCTGGCTTTAGTAGCGGCGTTTCCATTTACAAAATACAGTAATTCCCAATCACCGAAAATGTCAAATCCTAGAAAACGTGTCTCGACAGTGAAGTTAACATGGTCTCGAACAGCCGTTAGCCAAAGATTCATTTGATGAACCCGATTTGTGTGTACATTTCTGTTACGTTAGGACTAGAGTCGAGTTCTGTTTAAAAATAACTCTGACTTTTTATATTTTATTTTCACATTGAAAACCACTCAGATTTGCTTCAGCCTCAAAAGAGCGTGTTTATGTAAAATTAACACTGGCAGCGAACTGTTCTTTTTGTTTCTAACCAGGAAATGGGTTAAAAAGATGCCTTGTTTAGCCATCAGCGGTGGAAGAGGAACCTTGAACTTAATTGGTTTTCAGTTCCCTCCCTTTAAGAAGCAAAATAGAAGCCCTTCCAGTGGACACCATGGACAGTTCACTGCATGGACTCTGAGCTGTGCGCTCCCCCGGGGAGACCAGCTGTCACCCTGGGAGATGGGCGGGCAGGAAAGAGCGGTGACCCAGTGAGTGCTACGGCGGAAGCCAGGGGAAGCTCAGAGCAGGACGGGCAGCGATCTGAAGGTGTGCGGGGAGGGCTCGGGGCAAACGGACAACCAGCGGGCGGAGACCCTGCGGGAAGAACGGCTGGAGAGCAGGCAGGGGAGGCTCCGACGGGGCTGTGTAGTCCGTCCACGGGTTCGGTGCTCTGAGCACAGCGGGAGGCCACGGGAGAGGCAGAGGGTGCCCAGGAACCGTGACTGTTGACCCTTGCCCCGCTCAAGTCCATCCTCCACGCCGCAGGGGACAGACAATGACACTCGCTTATGTCAGAACCTCTGCTCGTCCAGCAGACACCGCAGCAGAATCTCAGACGGACGAACGCCTCTGCGAACGCCAGGTGCCACCAAACTCATTGCCCCCGTCTTCGCCGAGGTGTAATCAGCAAGTGAAAAGTGTATTTGCCCTGTACAAGTGCCCCTGTGACACGGTCAGCGTGCACATCCCCTTTGCTGTTCTGTGTGTGGTAGGACACGTAAGCTCACTCTCAGCAAATCTGAGTATAAAAATACACAGCAGCCCCACCCGTGTGAGGTTTCAGTTACCTGCAGTCAATTGTCATGGCTCAGTGATCCTCCTGATGCCACATCACAATGCCCACATCATCCACCTCCTCACACAGGCTTTGTGTCAGTCACCTCGCAAGAAGGGTACAATAAGAGATTCTGACAGACTGCATTCACAACTGTCACGACAGCAAGTTGTCATAACTTGTTTTGTTAGCATTCATCTCTTACTGCGCCTGATCTATAAATTCAACATCATAGGTGTGTATTCTAGGAAAAAATGCACATATAGGATTTTCTGCTGTCTGAAGTTCCAGGCACTCACTAGGGGGCTTGGAAAGTCCCCCCTGCAGTTAAGGGGAACAACTATATACCAACTACCATCCCCATGCTGTGTCAGTGCCCCAGAAGCCATTTGTCCTGCATGAGTGAGACTGTGCCCTGGCCCATCACCCCCCTGTTCCCCCACCCCCCCAGCCACTTCCGGTCTACTCTCTGCTCCTGCAAGTTCAAGTTCTTTAGATCCCACATACACTGTGTCTGGCTTATCTCACTCAACATAATGTCCTTGAGTTTCATCCATGTTGGAAATGACAGGCTTCCATTTTTGAGGCTGAATAATGTTCCTTTGTGTACATGACACCATGCTCTCCCTGTCCACTCCGCCGTTGGTGGACACAGATCATTCTATATTTTGGCTATTGTAAGTTTGCTGCTTTGATGAGGGGGTGAAATACCAAGGGGTTTCCCCCAGAAGCACAGACGAGCTGAAATACCTGTATAAAGTCACCGCCACACGGAGGCAGCGCCAGTGTGTTCGCAGAACTGTCAGGCGCCATGGTCATGTAGGTGACCCTCTGGACATGAAATGCAGGAAACCAAATTGTTCGGGAGAACACCGTTTATTGCAGACACTGATGCCAGCCCGGCAGAGTGACCTGATGGGCAGTTTGGGGTGAGTAACATTTGCTTTTCGCTTCTTACCCCGCGACGTGATTGACCATGTCCCTCCAGCCCTGCAAAGTGGAAATAGTTATATACTTTATATGTTAAAAGTTCAGGGATTTGAACAGTTAAAACGTAGTCACCACATTTTCGTACCATTCGGCAGTGGCTGCTGTTGACACTGTCATACAGCCTTCCCAGCGTCCCCCATGAATGAAGTTCTGTCATGCTGTTTCGCTTTTTCTGCTGGCTCGGCCACATCAGTTTTCCGGCAGCGAGCCAGGCGCCCATGGCGTGGACAGGCCGGCGTGTCGTCTGACGAGCTCCTTGGCCTCGTCGGGCTGTCCCTGTGCTCTGCTCCATGCAGCACGTGGCAGCGGGTGGGGAGGCGCCCCCAAAGGGCACGGTCTCCCGGCGCACAGACCTTCCGCCTGCTCCGCTCCCCACACCATCATGATCTCAAATTCCAGCCTTTGAAGATGTGCCCTGATTTATCCGATGCTGATAGGAAACCAACACGACTTCTTGAGAATGTCGTGTGCGCGTGTGGGCGCCGTGTCGTCTTCACCTCTGTCCCCAGCGTCTGACGGGGTGCACGACACAAAGATACGGACCCGTGCTGAAGTAAGCACATTTGAATCACTAGCCTATAAATTCAAGCCTCCGTGTCGTGTTACGCGCCGGTGTGGGGCCCAGGAAACGTGGGCTGGGGGTGTCGACGTGGGGTTCATAGGGAGAAATCTGGGAGAGAAGTGAGGCCGACCACAGACAGCTCCGCAGGGAGGAAAGCGAAAGCTTAAATCGCAAGCGAGCGCGTCGGGGCCGGACGCCCGAAGTTCTGCAGGCTCCAGGGGCTCCGCACGGGGAGCGACGGTCCCCATGGTGGGCTATCTTACCTTCTGTTCTGAGGCGCTGCCAGTGGCCGGGTCAGCAGTGGCTCTAGGGTTGCCTGTTCCTTCCGAGACTGGCTTTGGCTGTCCTGGTCCCCAGTCCCAGCAGCACAGACTGAAAGACAAGTCAGGCTCAGTGTGGGTCCTGCTGCCTGAGCTGTCATCACTGGGGTCCTTGTCCTCCCTGGGCGGGGTCAGTTCCCGGGGTGCCTCTTCTAGGCCTGCTGTTGGCCCTTCGTCCTCACGTGCGTGGCCTTTCCACCGAGCTCGCCCTTCTGGGGGGACAGCTCTGTGTCTCCCTCTTAGAAGGCCACCAAATCTATGCGATTGAGGCCCCACCCTTACCACCTCATTTAACCTCGATCACCACCTAAAGGCTCCCTGTGCCACAACAGCCACGCTGGGGCTTAGGGCTTCGGATTTGGAGGGGCAGGACACCTAGTCGCACAGCTTGGTAGCCTCGTGTTGCTGAGGTGCAGACGCTCGGGCCCCTGAAGCCCCGTCCGCCCTGCAGGACGCTCCCATGCTCCGCTGCGTCCCCAGACCGGTGGCTTCGGGTCTCCGGCGAAGGGCTTGCTGGCGCTCTCGAGATCTGCTCTCAGATCCAGCCTGTCGCCTCTTCTCTCTCCTTTCCTCGCAAAGATGCTGCCAATACACGGGCCTTC